TGATTATATAATGAGCCAACACATTGAATCGTAGTTTCTAATGTTTTATTTTGATGAATAAATTTTGAGTCTGTAAGAGTCAATGTTTGTTTATTGATTTCTAATAGGAAAGGCTTTTCTGATGTTGTAGCTATCGAATTGTTTTGGACATTACTGGCATCTAAGTAGTTTTGTTTATTACTTTGATTCTTCTCAATATTCAAAACATTCAACATCTGAGATCTGATACTCTCTTTTTGGAGAATTAAATTTTGCCGAATAATAATAAGAAAAATTGTGACATAAATAAGTGATAAGAAACAAAATGGTAAATAGATGAATTTTGGTTTTTCACTTTGCTTAAACATTATTGATAATAATCTGAAATACGTATATATATATATATTTGCGTATAGGAACAACAATGAATTCAACAAAAACTGTTGGAGTAAATTTTCAGAAGTCCTTGAAATGTCGTTTCTTTTTGTTGTATACTATTGTAATGATTCCGTTAATGTTATATTAATGTTGAATTGATGTAACATTATGTCTACAAAAAAGAAACTCTATTTTTAGATGCAAACGCATTCAAATGTGCGCGGATGGGGTGTAGAAAACATCTATCTACCCATCCACTTTCAGTCTCGTTAATACAACCAAACGAATGTCAAAACTGGCCTCCACAATCAAACTTACATTTACACCGTAGTATTACGTATATCATTCTGCAACATGGTATTTTATTCCATCAGCTTAAATGAAGTTTTTTAATTTGTGAACTATATCGTGACTACACGAGCCATAATTGTTTTTCATTTCTTCAGTGTTCATAAGCAGTAGCTTCAAATAATTTAAAGTGTTTCACTTTTGATCTAAGCATTTTTCACCTATAGTAGTAAGAATTACGCACAATCGTTGGAACAAACACGAAGTACAGTTGTTGCATTGTGAATAAGTTTAAAAAACTGATGAAGTATTTTATGCTAGTAATGTCGATCTTATTGTCGTCATTGTTTGAATATCATCTGCTCTGGAGATATATTTATTTGACAAATTGTCCCTCTAGCAATGATATTTAAGATTAGTAAATACATTATTTTGATCACACGCAGATGATGTATTTGCTTGTAAAACAGAAACTAGATTATATATGCATGAACTAAACTCCATGTGCGAAATATGCTGCTCATTAGAGTTTGTACCCTTCTGATATCGAATGATTAAATGATTCTTCTCAATCTTCTAGGAGACCATATAAAAGACTTTTTATATATTCCTACAATGTTCATGTTTTCGTCTTGGAGAAGTCGAAGACTATCTACAATTCAGCGATTCGTCTATTGAAACTATATGTAGCTACATCACGTTCTCAAGCACTTTAATTTGTAATTTACATGGCTCTAAAAGGCTTGCTCAAGTTAATGCCATAGCTAGAAGCAGTCTGCATTTTTTGACAAACAAAAATATTAATTGTTTTGTCAAAAACTTAGGGGAATCGAACATTAATTAAACTAGTAATGCTTGCTTCGATTCAGTTTCTGCGTTATACTCTCAAAGATACAAGCTTCTTACTATTTCAGACTCACTACATAGCCTGTGTAAAGTTCGATTATAGGCTAATATTTTCGATTTTCTCATTAAGACTGTCACTAGTTATGACGATGAAATTTTCAATGCGTTCTCACAAGCATTAGAAACAGTGGGAATATAATCATTATAATAAATGGCCAATATCTCGTTTAAAGACCTGTCAAGTTTGTAAATGTCATAGGCCGTTTGATAGAGGGGAGGTGACTCAGCAAAACTAGTCTTTCCACTTGCCGAACTTTCATTACGTTGAAATGTGGAAATACGGGAACTAAAAGTGTATTGTTCTTTCTTCATAGAAAAGATCTTTACTTTGCAAAGTTTAGCATCGCGCCATATAGAAGTCTCATGAATTTTACTTATGTGATAGATAGTGCAATCGAAAAGCTTCATAGTGAGCTTGAGTTCAATTGTGAAAAACTTATGAAGTACACAGTTGAAACCGGTACAAAATGCATCATTAGTTTGATCCTGGAATTTGACAGTGTGACAGATAAATCATATTTGAGACATAGACTATTTTCGATCCAAGCTGATCCTCAATATCATTTTACCTGATAACCAGCGTTAACTAAAAGATTTTGTTAGAATATATTTCAGAAATTCGGATCAATCAATTTATGCACGATTTGTTGTGGGATTCCTTCCATATGTAATCGACTAGCTTGTCAAAATGTTGTATAAGACACTAAACTAGATATGGAAATTCCACTTTTATCACAAAAAAAATTTCTCGTTTCCAATCTATTGTTTCTTTGAAGAAAGTTTGCTGTCAAATATGATGTTTCTCTGGGTGAGATTCTTGATTACATAATAAAGCTTTTAGCCCGTTTTTGTGTACTCATCTTTTCATTTTCTCTTGGTTTTCTTATTCTCTGTATTGGTTGTGGAAGTACTTATACCATATTGCAGCATAATGGTGCGTTACTCGTATTTTGCATCTTCTTGCTAATATAGAACATTTTTCTAACAATTCCACCAATCTGGTTCAGCTCACTGAAGTCAGTGCGCTCGATATCCTTTCGCTATTATGAGTGATGGTGAAGTCACTGCTGAACCGGTTTTTGTCTACGAGTTTCATGACAAACATATCAACAAAGATCCATATTGTTATCGACTGAAATATTTGACTTAAATGAAAAATATATTAAGTTGATGTCATTCTCTAGTGTTTTTCTGACACATGTATGAATTCGAACTTTGCTAATAAAATGACTTCTTATTGTACCACTCTAAGATCACTATGCAATGTCTAGATGAAATCCCTATGTCATAGTAAGTCACTTACACGGTGAGCTCAATCTAGAAACAGGATATAGAGAATATCATTCTTCTCGATAATTTATCACTGGTATATATTTAAACTCAAGAGTTCCATTGCCTATTCTTCGCACTGATAATTGCGAAGTTCATCGATGGATTTTTTTTCTGTGAAACTTACGGTAAGTCTTGACTACTCACTCACGAATGTTGTATATCGTCTTTGATGTCGTGTCTCTACTACGATGAATAACTACAAAATGATTCCCTTCGTCATTTTGTAGATTGTGGAGTAACCCAACTATTTTTCTTTCTGTTTGCTCAGAGAAAAATCAAATAAGAGTTTAATGGTTTGACTATTCTTTCTTTAACATAAAACAACCAGAAAGTGGATACAAAAATGGTTGGAAGCCGTACTATTTTGCTTAAAATTTTTAAAGGGCAGAACAAAATGAAAGACAAACATGCAACAGTACTAAATATTTGTTTTTGAATTTGCCATTGTTCGCAAATCTGAATATAGTTGGGGATACTATTCGAATAGTAATGATATGATTTGGCATGATTCAATAGATTACATTCGTCGTGTTTGGTCACCTTATCTTCTAACAATGGATAGTAGATATGCCTCTACAATTCCATAATCTTAGCAACTTTTTATGAAATTTTTCAAGATTTTTTGAAAAACTATATGCTAGAGACAGACTTGAAGGTTAGATGGAGACGGGGAACTGTCAGTAAGACTATTCAATTTTTCGTTGTTTATCCACTGCCATCCTCAAACAATCAGACTGCCAAATCTAATTATTTCATATAATTTACAAGCTCTCTATGGCACCTAGCTCTACTTTTGAAAATCTAACATCTCTGTCAACACAGTCTACTGACTCGAAATATTCTTCATGCAGTCATATTTGATGGGCAACACATAAAAGTACTGCATAAAGTGAACAACAATACTTCGCACATTATGACATTAATGCACATGCAGAATAACATCCAAATGTTTGCCATGTGGGAAACTATCGTTCAAAACCTATTTCATAATAAAAGGGTGAAAAAGACAAGTTGACTGACTGCTAGTATAATGCTTCCCATCCTTCATTGAATTCCATGCGTTTGCTAAAGTCCAGACGTTGTACATCTTCCAAAAGTAATCTATTGGGTGGAACAGCTGTGAATTTACACAGTTCATGGGTGAAATCCATTGTATATGTGACTTGCTGAAATCGAGTTCCTCCAAATCGATTTGTATATTTGAAATCGTGTTGAACACAACCGACTTGCATACTATGATGACACAGAGTTCGCTATAAATTCTAATACCGAAGAGATTATCGATCTACAATTCAAGGCAGAATACAACCAATAATATATAAAAAAAAATGCGAAATTCATATTCTCAAAACAGTTAGGAAAAGGGAAACAGTAAGCTGACAGAATATATTCTATAATAACATCAGTAACAAGAAAATTAATACTTCACGCCACTTAATTTTGTTCAAATAGATATAAAAGAAAACTCATCGTGTGATATGAAAAACACCTCTCACTGAGCCTTACTCTTATATAAAATACGTACTCAATGTAATCAAGCACACCTTTAAAAATACACACACACATGAGTGCATCAAATGAAAGACATAATGATGATGAGAACATCGGATCTCATCGGTCGATATATTATTCTGATTGAAACTCAAAACTTTACAAAACTTGATATCAACACTTTCTATGGCATACAAATAGTCTATTTATTCAGCTTATTTTATGTTACTACATTGTATATTCGAAACCATTCCAATGCATACAAAACCCAATTCTTCATTTAAATATTGATGATTATCATACATGTTGATATGTTAATAAAACGTTGGGACTGGCTACAACTAATTCATGTTTTGTAAGAAAATGACTTTTTTCCTACGGTTTTCTAGAAAGCTGTCATACTCGATGTTTTAGTTGTACTTTCATACATATGGAACTCATCATAGTTTTTTTTTGACAACAATAATAAACTTGCCAGAGATTATTTATTTCAATGATATGATCAACAGCATTTGTTTCCCTTCTTTTAACATTTTATTTGGATTGTTTTACTAAAACTGATAGAAGAAAATTTTATTCTATTTCAAATAACAAATGAAATCGTATGCAACAGTCTTTTTTTTCTATCAATGATCCAGTTGCCTGTGTTGAATTCCATGTTTTTTTCTTAAGTCATGTAATAATGTATGATTAAAAGGACAACTATAATTTCGACCGTTATCAATGAAACCTCCCATTTGCCATTGACGATGTTCATGTACAAAATCTTCTACCCATATATCTAAACAATTAAAATTCTTATCCGGTGTTCTTTTTGTAACTAAAGAGCAAAATTCTTTATCTTTTTCACACATTTCAACAAATAATTGTCCATCAGGTGCTAGATTATCTCGAGGATTCACTGGTAATGAAAAACCTTCGAGAATTAGTTGTGATGCTTGTCGAATTAATTTCACAATTTCATCTTTTTTAATACCTTTTTGTCGTTCATTAATTGGATAATAAAGACCTTTGATATATGGTGTACCACTTGTCATATGTTGTTCAAGATATGAACTATATGCTTCGGTTGAATTTTCTAATCCTCGTGGTTTTATACCTCCAAGATTAATAGTTACAGATCCATCTGATAAAAATGTTTGATACATTTGTCCAGTACCTGGTCCAGTTATATGAATATCTATTTGACGTAAAAGTTTTAGTTGAGCTATGAAATTATTTTCAATCAGTTCATTTTTTGGTGATCGACAATCAGTTGATGTTGCATTGATTTGAATAGAACTATCGTTTTGCGCTATAATTTGATCATAGAAAAGATAGGAGACACGAACTAATGGCCATTGCAATTTAGTTGTTTGATTCAGATATGAATTGGTATAATTATTTATTTCATTCATGGCATCATCGACTTCTTTTCGATCATTACTTCGAAAACGTTTATTATCAATAATATATGCTTGAAGAACATCACGAGAAGTTCGACTTTCAGAGGAAGATTTTCTTCGAATAATTGGATAAAAAACACCATGTTGTTGATACATTCTATCACGAAAAAGTCTTGATGCATCTAGTTCAACACCTCCAGGTAACTGTAAATTAGGTTGTGTACAACGTTGACAAAATGTTCCACTCCCCATAATAAGTTCTTCAAACATAAACCAGTTTCCTTTTGACATTTTATCTAGAATGCTTTGTTTAAGAAGTCCAAGACCACCAAAACGACTATAAATATCTTCACTCCAACAGCCATTACAATCATTTATTCGAGCAAGAATACGAAAAGGTTGCAGATGTCTTGGAGGAAAACGAATAAGTGCAACATATCCTGGATAAAGACCATCAAAAAGTG